AGTCAGAGCTGTAACCTGGTTTAGAAGGTTCATCGAATTCCTGATGGTACCTCGTTTACCGAGTTGTGAAGGATCCGTTCATCTAGGATGTTTAAAGGTCAAAGAGCTTGAGATTGCCAAGCGTAAGATTTTATTGATGGTTCAGAGAGAAGTGTATGGAAAATTACTTAGTGAATTTAAGAACAGCAGTAAAGTAGTTAGCCATGATGATCTGAAAGGTTTATCGTTGATGATGCTTGATGGGTTACTCTGCGTTGGAGGTCGACTAAGATACTCAGATTTCCCAAATGTTTTTAAACATCCAGTAATTTTACCCAGTCAACACTTAGTGACGGAAATGATAGTTAGACATTGTCATAAAGAACAAGGACACATAGGAAGATCATTAGAAAAAGGGTATGGATATGTGTTTACTTGTTTGCAAACATGGGCAGTACATATTGAAATGATGTGTAATTTCATTACTGATTCATTTTTAATGGCTCTATTACGTTTTATTGGAAGAAGAAGGAAACCTCCAGAGATTTACAGTGTCAGTGCGTCAAGCTTCGTGGGGACAGTTTCTGAGCTAAGCAAGTTTGTGCAGCAGTCGAATCAGAAATAAACATTGAATTGTCAGCGAGGTCCTACACAATCATTTTGACATAGATCATATACGCTGGTGATTTACACCGTGAAATGCTTCACCGTACCCCTAAGAGTGGTTTTGCAATGACTTTGCTGTGAACGAATACCACGTAGAAACCTCTCGGTCTGAGGTTGTTTTCACTGTTTCGGAGGGGCTCATTTATTTCTGCCTAAGTTGATTGTCTTGTAGTGACTCACATTCATCACGAGAACACGACTGGTTTAATAAAAACGCTTATTATTATAACCAAGTGTACCAGTGACTGTTTTAATGTGCTTTTGTTTGACTGTGCTAATGACAGCTATTTTGTGCTTCCATTCTTATGCTTACACTTCGATTGTAACTTCGCGCGAACTCGGTTACGTTCTGTAACCAAGCTTGTATCCTGGCACGATCTCGGTATCCTTTCGATACCATGAGATCGCCAGCAAATATATATCTCGATTTGGTCCATTAATTGCCTTCTGGTATTTGGCTTCTTGGAGATTTTATGGGTTTCTTTGGTTACGTTCAACCTACGCCTACTGATTTATTTGGCACGTGTTTCTTGGTAGCGGTGTTCATAGTTAACCTCAACTCGACACCACGCTACAGTCTCTAAATGCGTTTAGACAGTTTGAGATCCATGCAGACATCTTTCAAATCCAGTCAGTAAGGATGAATTTTCCAGTATTCGGTTCTTTTCTTCAGTAGAAGCAAAAGTGAAACTTAAAAGGCAGTTCACCCGAGTTCTTCCTTAGTCCTAATTTTTTCCTATTCTGTAAAACTGATTAGTGGTAGTAGCATTTTTATTCATATCTAGTCCTTGGTTGCCTCTTGGATGACTTTTCGTGCCAACCTGAGCTGTTACAGACTCACTTAATTTGTGAAAAATGATCATGAAAGCTGTTATGACAAACTGTGACGTTTTGTATCCTTAAATCCCTCTCCATCATCACTCAATTTCAAGTCTGGTTATACTGCTATAAAAATCCTAAATTTAAGGATGGTCAGAGACGGAGCATATCTAACTACCGGGCTGTCAGTCTAATCAGCATTGTCGTTAAGTTACTTGAAAAGATAATTCGGGTCAGGTTGCTAAGCCACAAAGATTTACACAATCTGTTATCTCCTGAACAACACGGATTTCGTAACAAGCGTTCACGCCTAACCAACATACTTATTGTGAGGGAGGATTGAACAGCTGCCCTAGGTAACGGTCTGTCTGTCGATGTGACATTCATAGATTTGAGCAAAGCATTTGACAACGTTTCACACTTAGGATTTGTGCAAAAGCTCACGAACTTCGGAATAATAGGCACTGTACAGGAGTGGATAGGAAACTTCTTATGTGACCGCAGACAGAGAGTGAGGGTCAATGGAACGCTATCTGATTGGAAGTCGGTCAAAAGTGGTGTACCCCAAGGCACCATCTTAGACCCTCTGCTCTTCCTTCTCTACGTTAATGAGTTACCGCTGTTGCTTAGGTCGTCGACATTGTTGTTTGCGGTTGACGTTAAAATCTGGAGAACAACAAAATGTGCGGCTGATCATCTGGATCTTCAAGCTGACTCAGACGATTTGGTAAGATGGGCTTGAGAGTGGGGCTTACAAATCAATGCTAGGAAGAGTGTGCTAATGCATATCGGCCACGGTAATAGTTACCATTATACTATTGACGGTAAACCTCTTCCATGCGTTCAAGAACATAAAAACTTAGGAGTAGTATTAAGTCATGATTTAAAAACAACTACGCATTGCAAAGCAGCCGCTGTCAAAGGTTTTCGTGCGTTATGGTCACTTCGTCGAGCGTTCAAATCTTTTGACGAGGAAACGTTTCGAATTTTATGTCCCATATATGTGAGACCACATTTATAGTGCTGTATCTAAGCAGCTAGCCCGTGTCTGGTAAAGGACACTAACTCACTCGAGTGTGCCTAGTGTGTGGGAACGAAATTAGTGAAGGGTCTTTCTAAACTCCCCTACAATGAGCGTTTAAAACACCTTAACTTTTCCCCTTGTTGTATCGTAGGACGCGAGGTGACCTTATACCGCATTTCGTATCTTGAATTATGATTTGGGTGTTAGCATGTCTTATTTTTTTGCTCCCCTCAGCACTAATAATCTCCGAGGTCATAGCAAGAAGGTTCATAAACCGCGATCTAATAAACTTAAAGTGGTGTTCCGTTATTCTCATCGAGTGGTCAATGACTGCAACGCCTTACCCGAACAAGTGGTATCAGCCCCATCAGTGAATATTTTCAAAGAGAAGCTAGACCTTCACTGGAAGGCAATGTGTCAGGATTAACACAGATTCACCAACCTACTATCCTTATTACTGAAGACTGAATTGTTTTAAAACATCGACGTGTGCAAGTCAACCTAACAGTGACCTTGGAAGAACATTTTTGTAGGAACCGGTTTGGTCCACTTGATACCGCTGACGATTGGTGAGTGTTCTATCCGTAAACTGTATTGTAGAAAATGGCGTTTATCTATGTGAGACATTCACAGAAGGCCAACGACTAGATTCTCGACACACGTTGACATTTTATCGCAGAGTATGGAATAACTCTTGCTTTGATAAATATGGAACGTTGGCTGAATAGCTACAATATTCTGAAATATGACGCAACACAAAATGTGCTTACAGTTGTGTCTCTGTGAAACTGAGTCTCGATTTAAGTGTTGGTAACATTTGCATCACTTCTGTAAGGAAAATCAAGCAGAGGATTCGGTCTATGGTGATTGATGCATCTGGTCATATATAGACAAAACCTGTTTTGAGATAATATGTCGAGACTGACTAGTGTATCAAACATGATCGTTTCGAAAGCGTTTCTCAGATATATCTGAACTTGCGTCCTTATATTTAAATAGGCACTACAGAACGACAAATCCACCACCAAGTACTTCATTCCAAATGAATCATCTTTATGAAAATACGTTTAGTGCTCAGGAATAAGTGAATTCAATTAGTTCATATATGTCATGCTGATTACCCCCTGTTTACTTGGTTTACTCGTCTTTTACCTTTCATAATATTTTTTATTTCACAAGGTTCACTTTTAGTCTGCCTTGAAATGCACTGACTAAAATGTGTCCACGATTATAATTTTCTATATTATGTAAGGAACGTTTATCAAATTTGAATGACTGTATTGATTGCCTTTTCACTTGGATTGCTGTTCCATGTTAGTTTGTCATCTTGTTCAACTGACACTAGATTGTCAGTTTCACACATTGTGGATTAGTTGTTCATACGAAAGCATCTGAAATGTCGAGCGAACAACAATATAAATTATGCTTTCTTTACTAGTTTGTATCATGTGAGAGGAGTATCGTTAAGATGAAGTGTTAACATTTATCTCCGTTAAGTTACTGAACAGATGTTATGTTTTTGCCGTTGTGTACACATAGACTGATTCAATTAAGGTCAACGTGTTATCCAATCGAGTAAATTTACTTAACACTTCAAATAGCCAAACCCTCCTTCACAGCCATATCGAGTGCATTGCTTATTCACGTTAGTGAAAACAAATCCGAAGCGTAATTTATCAATCCAGCACAGTACTTTGTCAGAATCTTGGTCACTTATGTATTAGTTATCAAAGTTTATATACAGCACAACATAGTCTAATTAGTAGCTTAGATGCACAAATCAGTCTGAATTACCTAGAATTATTTTCCATTTTATCTGTGTTTGGCTATAACATAACTGCTCGGAAGGGATTACCAGATCACAAATTATTCGCAGCTGCACGAGGAGGTTTCGTTCTTGTTATCAAAATTGAGCTGAAAATAAGTGCATCATGTTAACGACGTTCTCAATGAAACTGAAATTCAGCACCCATCAGCCTATAATCAGCTTGTCATCCACTGAATCTTGGGATCTACGAGCTTATTGAATAAGCATAATATTTATCAGTATTTTCAAGGTTTTCATATTTTCTTATTGGTTGTTTACTATCGACGTACAGGCTCATTGAGGAGATGCCTTGATATTGTTCTCAGCTACAGTTTGATCAACCTTCGGAAGTTGGCTGGTAGTGAAACCCAGTAGATGTGGATTTTTGTGGTAATTAACACCGTGTTCCAATTTCAGCGTGAATATCAACATTACAATGTATATTCATGCAGTAGGGCAGAACACTTGCCAGGAATTTTAATATAATTCACTATTAATAATTCGATAACTTAATATTAATCAGTTTATTCATTAAATGCGTTCTATATTTGAACATCTTGCATTCTCTCAATTCAATCCAAAGGGAAACATACCATAAATATCTTAGTGGTAAATAATCATCATATCACTGAATATTTATTTTTAACCCTAGTAACTTACTAATGTACATATGTTCAATTTGTTTCGGTACAGCTCATTACAAACATGACCGACCTTAGCATTTCAAAATCAGTAACCGAATATGGTTGTACCAAAAGCGCAGACAAACTTCATCAGTATATATGCGATCATTCACTACGTCTGTCTGAAGCACAAAAGTGGTTATTGCAGGTAATCATCGCAATTATTGTATTTTAAAAATGTATTGTAGGAGAGTAGAAAACATCCACTGTCATCAATGCTTTTCTCCAGTATAGAAATGCAACTTCTATCGAATTTGTGTTATGCGATAAATGCTAGAAAGACACTTGATGTTGGTAAGTACGAAGTGTATGTAGGTTTGATTATAAGCATATATATCCATTCTACGTAACCCATTGCTTCTCGAGAAAGTTCTCGGCCTTGATGAAATAAGTCAAATAAACAAGTATTACTGGCTCGTCCATAATTATACATTCAAATTAACTGTATAGGTAGATATAAGTAGAAATAGGATGAATAGAAGGTTGATATTATGCTTAACTTTGTTTCATGGTTTACGGCAATTTTTTATGAGTCTGCGTTCAACATATCCTTCCGTTTCAGCTTTGACGAAATAAGTAAACTACATAAATATTACTAGCTCATCTTTAATTAATTATTTGAATTAACTGTAAAGGTATATGTAAGTGGAAACATAATAAACAGAATGTGGATATTATGGCTAACTTTGTTTTGTGGTTTACCGAAACTTGGAATGAGTCAGCGTTAAATAAATCAGTCTGTCACTTGGAGATAATTGCTCCTTAACTCTACCGTTTGAAGACGATTAAGGAGATTAGATGCTCTACTCCATCATTCGTCTTTCTCCAGTGAGTATTATATTTCAGAGTGGTTGTTGAATTCGTGAATGTACAAATCATGTTTGGAGTGGCAGATATGGAAAGAAGAAGAGTTCAAAAGTAGAAGGATACAGTCATCCAGTACTGACTGATTATCAGTGTCTATTCAGGTAGAGTCGAATGAGTGAGAGAATTACCTTGAAGCAAGTATGTTGGTACCACACATCAACAACACATTCGTAATTTGCTTGCATATTGGTCTGTTAGTGGAAACTGGAACACTGACCTCATTGCATTTTAGACCCATCAGCCAGATGCATCTGCATGGTGTTATTGGTATTCGCATGGAAATTCGAAGCAAGTACCTTTCGTTTCGAGCACCAACACATGATCCACTGATGAATTGGGACCAAATAGTCAGTAGATTGTTCGACGGTTGTGAATTTTATTTTGAAATAGTTTTCATTTAGCCGTTGTCGATGTGTGTCGTAATTGATCAGTCTGGTTTGCACGCGTATCGTCATTCAGTCACCGGTTCTGAGCAGAGTTGAATGATGACTGGTAGTGGAATCTGAGATGCTTGCATCGTCCTACATAAGCGTAGACAATTTCTGGAGACAAATGATTGTTTACGTCAAACTGTGGAAAGTCGAACGTTGTATTATTTACATAAATAAATAATGAGTATTGTGAAACGTGTAACGCAGTGCTTACTAGTGCACGAGTCTGTCTCTACATAAACTCATTCTATTGTGTACTGAATGCGAATGTTAAAGTATTTAGATGAACTAAACTTACAAACAACTACTTCCTGTCCATTCAAATACCACATTAGTAGTCTAATCCTCAAACTGTCAGCTTTCCTTCTAAATCACAGGCCTGTTGACCATGAATATGGTTGATGAAATGAATAGAAACCTTACTAGTGATAGTCAATTATGTCTGGGATTTTTGACGTTCACAAACGTTTGAGTTGTTTGGTTCAGTAATAGTTGGTTTCACATATGCTTTTTAAGCTAATAGTTGTTTTGTTAGGCGACAGTGCTATCTAGACGAGTTTGGAAGATGTTAGTGTGATAATTTTACTGTTTTCTGATTGGTCAATATACACCAGTTTAACGACCAGTCATTATCAACAGATATGTTTCCATTCATTTTAAAATGAATATAGGAGTTTATACTGGATATAGTGCATTGTCTATCGCGGAAGTATTGCCGTCAGATGGACGTGTAGTTGCCTTGGATAAAACGGATGAATATTTGAAAGACTATTGTTTGCCAGCATGGAAGAAGGCAGGTGTAGAATCGAAAATTGACTTCCGACTCGGTCCAGCGCTTCAAACACTACGTAAGTTTGACAATGTGGTGTGGTATATTGTTACCAAGAAATACAAAACACAGATGAACATTCAGTGTTTTAACATAGAATATCCGTGAAGATAAGCATTTTACCATCGGATTACTGATGTGTTCTGTAGTGTCAGCAATGCTATCTGGTTGGTTTGGGAAGAAGATAATATATGTGGAATTTATGCTACAGTTCTGTTTAAGATAGTTGAAAATAATGGAATGTTGGTTAATGTGGACGGAATCTACAAGCAATCTTCTGATTAAGAAGTATTAGTGGAGTGGTCAGAAATACATAAATATCAAGCGAATGAACTGCAATCAACTTTCATTGATATCGGTTTCGATATCCTTTGGTTTAAATATTGTCTGAGTTAACCACTTGTACAGACTATTGAAAAATGCTGACCAGTTTATTGTGTCTGTATGTCTATTAGTTCTAAGTGCATTATTGATATGTATGATGAAGTTCCCTCCTATAATGTACATGATGTATGCGAGAAGCTATTATGTTTGCACTAGATAACATTACCAGGTCTCGTTTAGATTGCTTTACACTTCCTGAAATAATTTCAATTTAGATGAAAATTTTCGTCTGAATTTGAAGTAATAGATTCACAGTATTTGAAAAATTTTATAATAATCAATGTTGACATGAAATGAATATTTCTAAATTAATTTTGATTGAGATCATGAATCGATGGATGTTAGACCACCACTGGATATCTGGAAGCACTGGAAGACCGTATTGTCTCCGTACAGGACTGCTCATAAGTACGCACCCACCATCCCACACACGGGACTGCAACCCAGGACCTTCACCTTCGTGCACGAACTCTTAACCCATAGACCACTGAGCCGACATCCAACGGTCCTAATGTCTAACTTCAACCAATCCACGAAAACGCTCGACCATCTTCCATTGCACTGAGGGAGATACCTGTCTCTACTCGACACGGAATAACTCCACTGGTCACGGCTTCTAAGTAGAACTCCGAGAATTCTTTCGCGAAGCTATTCACTAGTGAGCACATGGTAATCATCAATATGTGAAATCCCATACTATGACGAAACGGCCGTCCAGTGCTTCCAGGTTTTCAATAGTGGTCTAACATCAATCGATTCATAATCCCAATCAAAACTCAACAATCTTCACGACCATATACTAAGAAATTTAACGAATTATTTATCTCCTGTGATTCGTGAGTTTTCAGAGATAAGCATACAGTTTTTATGTATGGTATGAGTGAAATTTGTCACAGTATGCATCAAATGAAGATAAATAGACAGAATGTAAATAAATGAATGAACGTTTGTGTTGTTTTGCAGTTCCAGTTAATCGTTTATCATATTCAGGTGAGATAGGTGATTAGAACAATTGAGTATGATTGTTTTTATCTTGATAATCTAACTTACATACTTCTGTTACTCCTCGTATAGGAGTATAGGCCACCCACCGGCACTCTCCATCCAACCCTGTCCTAAGCAATCCTTTCCTGTTGTTATTCATCATTTTCATATTTGCTTCTATTTCTTGGCGTTCCTCTTTTCCGCTTCCTTTCAGGATTCAAAGTTAGGGCTTGCCTTGTGATGCAGTTTGATGATTTCCTTAATGTATGGCCTTTCCATTTCAATCGTCTTTCCCTAATCTCATCTTCAGCTGAAATCTGGTTCGTTCTCTCCCAGAGAAGGCTGTTGCTGATGGTATCCGGCCAATGGATGTTGAGTATCTTGGGTAGACAACTAATTATAAATACTTGCATCTTCTTGATGGTGGTTGTTGTAATTCTCCAAGTTCCAACTCTGTATAGTAGAACTGCCCGCAGTGTCGAGTCACCTAGACTGGTGGCCACATTGCAATATGATCAATAGCATTCGATCTGCACTAATAAGGACTAGACACGCATGACATTGATCGCCATTCAGTGATCAATCAATTGTGACAGTTATATATTAAATGGAGTTCAGGTTTACTTATTACTTATCAGTTACTATGGGACAGCTAATTGTACTCCATCTCTCGTATTAATATTTTCTGGACTAGCCCATATGTGCAGGACTGCGGCTGTTAGTCTTTCTTTGTGAGAATCAAAACCTGTTTGTAAGATTCTTGTGTCATTGCAATCAGTTGTTTGATCCGGTTGTATTGAGTGTAATGCTATCACTGATGTGTTTGCGAGCATTTTTATATGATCTGAGGATTTCTGAATGTCCTTAAAGCGCAGTTTGTGTTCCTTCACCCTCACATCCAGTTGTCGTGGTATTTTATCTACATATGTAGCATTACATCACCAAATATAAATGTATCTCGACAAGTTAGATGTGTGTTCGGAGGTTGGTTTGAACACTGCGATGTTGTGAGTAGGTGAACGGTACATGTACTATGTCTGATATAGGTATTCTTCTAGTCAATAAAAACAATTTTACTGATGACGTTGAACGAATACATTTATTCGGTTAGTATTCGATAACGGTTGGGTGTATGTAAGTACAATCAGTTTGATAACAGTTTTGTCGTAGACTATATATTGATTTGGTAACTGAACTTTATATATTTTGATTGAACTGTTGTGCCAACAGAAAGTTTGATTGATAATGGAGAGAGTGAAACATTCGATTTTGCCCTGATCGATTTAGATCAACGAAACTACTGTAAATATTACGAATTATGTTTAAAACTAGTTCGACCTCGTGGAATCATCGCCATTGATAATGTAAGTTTGTTTTATTTACGAGCATATGTTCTATGTATCCGAATACATTTGAAGTCAACTTTCATGACGAATTGATCTTTTAATGACTATTAATGAACCTTCTGTTTCGAAATATCTCGCCCTTAAAAATGCTTCCACATTTCATAAATTCTCGAGGGAATATCCCACATATTCGGTGAAGTGTGAAGTATAATGTTAATAATAATAAATGACTATAGTTGTACACCTTCTGCTGAATGATAGCCTTATATTTCAAACTAAATTGAATCAGTTTATCCCATATATGTATGAATAATTTATCTTGGATCAACTAATTGGAAGTTATTGCGTAGAGGGAATTATAAGTTGGTCTGTTCTAATAACCCTAAGCAAACATTACTGAGTGGTGCCTTTAAATGATCTTTGTTAGTTGAATGATAACAGTTTTACTGTTGATAATAATCTGACGTAGAATATTGACTATCTTATAGATTCTAACCACAGTATCTGCACCATTCTAAGTGACTCTTATCAAACAGTCTAAATATTAATGAACAGATGAGTTGTCTTCATTTGATTGCTTTTAGATTTCACTCATTCTAATTCACCATCTCTCTGTTTCAGAGCCATTTTATACTCTGTTGATTACCATTTCTTCTCCAGGTTCTATGGAGTCAGTTTGTGCTCGACGAGAATGATAACAGTCCTGAAACTATCGGTATAAGAGAAATGAATGCATTGATAGCTAGAGATAACTCTGTTCGAATTTCTCTCTTAAGAACTGGAGATGGATTGACAATTGTTGTGAAGAATTGATTTATGTTATGACTGTTTTCAGAATGGTTACATCCATACAGACACACATATATTTGATTGATTAACCGAATTGCTTTGATTGCTTTCGCACATAAATATTTCCCATTACTAAGCTGTCAGTTTCAATCATCACTGCATATGTATGTTGTTGTAATAAAACATTTCTATGAAGGGTTTCTGTATATTACATACCGTTTCAATCATTTTGTAATTGGCACCAAACATGTCTGAATCTCTCAAATGTGAGGAAATTCGTAGTATTCTGGGATTCTCTTTATATTCTGAGGAAACATGAGGGGATGTAATGACTAACTAGAGGTCAGTGGAAACTTGGGGCATTTTAGTCTCATTTCCCCACAGTAAATCCCCGAAATTTCTGATTTGGCTTTCTCAAATTTGATGATATTTCCACCAAAGTTGAAAGATTATGATGTTACGATGGGAAGATACAAGAATGCTGTTCTCAGCTTTATGTAGTGCAAGATTACTCAATACGAAGACTTGACACAAGAATGGTAACTAGATCAATGAATCACAATCTTTGACCACATGGTAGACTCGTCTGAAGTACTCAGTTAAAAATCAAGGAACAGATGTGATGTCAGTATGAATATCAGAAAGATTCCGATTGACGATAGTCTGATGATAGTTGATGATATACACAAACCACTTGAGAAATACTGAGTTTTCGTTTATCTTCAGTAGACTATATGTTTTATTATTTGTTTCAGTTAAAGCATATGATCGTAATGTTTTCCTTGTCGCAGATCAAATTATTTGGAATTGCCATTAAACCGAAACATGGAACTTATCAGAAATAAGAGCACAATAATGTGGCAGATCTCCTTCAGAAGGAATCGAACATATTGATTATTAACTATATCGCATACGATCTGATAATTAATTTGGTATGGAAATCCAGCATAGTCGTACACACGGATTCATAAAAATCGTGCAGGGAGGACAGTTGACAAATTCGTTCGAAGTAGAGACCGGTGTCAGACAAGGTTGCTTACAACTGAAGAACATCTGGAAATCAAAACAATTGGCACCAGCACAATGATAGGATTTTCAATAAAAATGTGATGGCAGTTCTACTGTATGGGGCGGAAACTTAGAGAACGACGAAAGCCATCATCCAGAAGATACAGGTGTTTATTAACAGTTGCCTACGCAAAATACTTCCGATCCGTTGGCCGGACACTATCAGCAACAACCTACTGTGGGAGCCAACAAACCAGATTTCAATGAAGGAAGAAATCAGGAAGAAGCGCTGGAAATGGATAGGATGCACACACATTGAGGAAAGCACCCGACTGCGTCACAAGACAAGCCCTTATATGAAATCCTCAAGGCCAAAGGAGGAGGACAGGAAGACCAAAGAGCACATTACGCCGAAAAACGGAGATAGATATGAGAAGAATGAACAAGAATTGAATGGTAGTAGAAAATAAAGCCCATGACTGAGTGAGTTGGAGAACGCTGGTCGAAGGCCTATGCTCCATTAGGAGTAACAGGCATAAGCAGTAGTAGTAAGTGATGTGACAGATCTCCTTCAGAAGGAATAGAAAATATTGATTATTACCTATATCGCATACGATCTGATAATTGATTTGGTATGGAAATTCAACTTAGTTGCACACACGTATACATCAAATGAAGTGGTAATTTCAGGTTACCGATGGCTTTGTTTTAGTAAAGTGTCATCTTTGGTTGAAGATTTCACAATCAAATGGATACTTCATTGATTCATATCAATGGTCGTCCAATTAGATCATAAGTTGTAGGATTTTAAATGCAAAGTAACGAGATTCATTTTGTCACTCATAACCACATTCAATCGATTTATTAATTTGCGGATACCTAAACTCATAAACAACCAAACACACTTATTTTCAAAATGTCAAAGATATGTGTGGATGATTCTCTTGAAAGACGATTGTTTCTGCTCATTTTCAATCCGTAATCCACTCAGTACGTAGTCAAGTATTGTAATGGACTGAAGATCAACATGTAACTCGATTGGCACATTTTGTACACGTGAAAATACGTTTTGCTATAATTATTTAGGACCTACGAATTCACCATATCTCAATTTCGACGAAATCCTCTGACAACCGTTAAACAACATTTAGATTCGAAAATGCTTAATTAACTGTGATTGTGATTGTGGTGTTGGCTATCACCATATATCTTCAATTGTATACATTCTTCTCTAACCCTATTCACAGTTTGTTGTTTGTGCTTGTTTGAAGGAGGCTAATTGAATAATGTCAACTGAAGTCAATTAGAAAGAAGCACAAATAATCTCAATATATATGCAGTTGTGAAACATGATATGTCTATAAATATATTTGTTGGGACGGCTTTCGATAAGCACTACGACAACACCAGAGGCCGTCAAGGAGCCGAAGCGTTTCCATCCACTCAGAACGTGGGGTTCTATACGTCCGAGTAACGTTTGATGTACATCGTATTCTGGGTTAATCAAATAGAACATTTAAGAATGTTATATGATTAATTGGGGTCAACTACAAGGTCAATATGTGGAGCACGTAGTGAATAAGTCGCACCTCATCACGTTGTATTATCAATGAAAATGTAGAAATTTGATTGAATCACGTATCTCGTAAATAAAATCTATGTTAATCTTATGCAATAAGGAGCTCATTTCGATTATAAATATAAGATAACACTGAAATATCTAATATTGTTGACATGATTGTTCGATTTGAAACCTTCTAAACTTCATAGTGCTTACCGTAGGTCATAAACCACTGAGCATGGATTTAATGTGACATAATGATTTTAAATAAGAAAGAAAGATTAGTTCAGCGAAGAGTTCTCTTTTCGGCGAATTCATTTTCAAAGCTGTACAATCGCAAATGTATATACTTATTTTTAAAGGGTGATAATAATACTGATAATAAACTTCTGTTATACATGGTGACAGTGAGGTTAAATAAACAAAGGTATTAGAAAAATCTTTTTGAAACAAGGAAAGCAAATAATCGTTTGATAGTAAATGGCTTAAGTATTCATCTGGTAAGGATGGCTCAGCATGATAAAATAACACAAAATGTTGAAACAAAGATGAAATGTAATCGGAATGATCGTGGAAATAAAAACAAACCGGTTGGAGGTAGAAGATTTGAAGGGAAGATAGAAGGTGAAGCAGGTGGCTGTAAAGGAACAAGAGTATGAAGAAAGAGAAAAAAATTTTTAATACATTAAGACCATGGTAAAAGAAGAGGTTGTACCAGTCTCTTTTGTACACATAATTCTAGTTTTTCAAAATGTATGGCTATTGCCTCCTCAATGCAAATAAGATGCAGTCTAATTGTCTTAGGAAGGCTTCTACTTACCTTGTAGATGAATTTGAACGCAGAGTCTGTCTTGATTGAGTGACCTGTGTTCACAAGGTGTTCGATTATAGAACTTCTTATTGAGCCGTTGCCTCCTCTTCTTAGCCACGCCGGACAATGTTCTTGAATTCTTTTGGATAAAGTACGCATCGAACGACCTATATACCTAGCTCCACAAGAGCAGGTAAATTGGTAGATGCACATTGAGTTGGTCAGATGCGATAATTTATCTTTCAGATTATTGGTGAACAGTGATCGGCTGGAGAATAACATTCGCAATGTTGCTGCAAAGAATGTTCTATTTAAACAATCCGAAATTCTCCTCGTTAAGATATAAGCGGCACTATCACTTTTGAAGTCGATGTTCATGTATAAAATTTTCTTTTCTACTGTAGTTGTTTGTGGTTTTGGCATTTTCGGCTTCATGTTCTTATCAATGAATATAGAAGGATATCCGTTTTTGATAAGTATCTCTTTTAAAAGGCTCAATTCTTTCTCTACGACCTCGGGGCTACAGATTCTTCGTATTCTTGTGGCGAGAGTTATTATTAAGTTTCTTTTTCGGCTGATGGGAACCGAACTGTGGAAATTTGATAGTTGGCCATTCCACATGGATTTCCTATAGATAGATCTTTTTAAAGTACCATCTTGTTTTCTTTTCATATCTACATCAAGGAAGTGAATATTTTGTTTGCTTTCAACTTCAAGTGTGAATTTTATTATTAAATGTCTTTAGGAGATCACTTAAATTACATTTGTTGTCACAAATGATAAAGATATCATCCACATATCTTTTATACAAGTGGAGGTTTTCTATAATTCTTTTGAGTTGGTTGTTTTCTAAATTGGCCATGAAGCAATCTGCTAGTAAAGGACCAAGTGGGGATCCCATTTCTATACCCTCCTTCTGTCTATGAATTACATCTTCGAATGTGAACTGTACATTGCAAGTACAACGTAGTAATAATTCCTTCAAATAAACCTCAGGTATCCCAATGTTTATCTCAGTATTGTTTATGTACTTACAGATAAAATTAATGGTCTCTGTGATTTTATTGACTAATGGTTGTTGGTTTCACAGTTTCCAGTTAGTGGATAGTTCTATGTTCGTACACAATCTGTGTGAAATGAGATGATCACAAAGATGAGTGTACAAATTCTGTGGTACTTTTACTCAGCATATGTTATAGACTAGAATGGTTTCTACATTAGGCGATCATGATAGATTGAATATCACTCACTTGTTGCTACTACTCAATCCTGATGTTTATGAGAATAGACAAATCGAAGTTATCAATCCGTAATATTATGCAGTACACAAAATCAACTCTATTTTGGTCATCTGTGATCTAGAAGGATAATAGTTCGGAAATGATTCTTCGAATATTACTTGGCTTTCAAAATTTATGAAGCAGAAGCACAACTCATACACCTGAATATTGAAGACGTAACTGAATTCTGGTGTTTGCCTATTCATTTGATGCAGACAATGCTTATGAACATGTTCCAGTGATGATGGAAACTGATTAGTTTGATGTGTGCGATCGTCAGATTCGCAATTGTCACTTTAGTCTCTATATCTTCCGTTAATCTGGTTGACCATAAACATGAACTCCATTGTCATCAACGAGAAAT